TCTCTCTCTCTAGTTTTTTATCTCTCTCTCTCTCTCTCGTCTCTCTCTCTCCTCTTTTTTTTTTCTCACCTCTCTCTCTCTCTCTCTCTCTCTCTCTCTCGCTCTCTCTCTCTCGCCCCCCCTTGTGTCTCTCTCCCTCTCTGCCCGCCCTTCCTTATTTCTTCTCCCTCCCCCTCCCCAACCCCCCACCCCGCCATCGTATTTATCACCCCTGCCATCGTCTCCAGTCGTAGCGGGAGGTCCCGCGGCAGAAAAACACCCAGAACGAACCCCTCCGTGACAGAGGGGGGCCATTTCAGCGCCCCTCTGTGACAGAGGGGGGTCGGAAAAACCAATGATCACCTAATTCCGGCTTTTGGATTATTCGTTTTGAATAGAACACTGTCCGCGCGTCCTCCTGCTCTGGCCCCCTCCTCCTCTCATCATGTCTCCTGCCTCTCAACTTGTTCCTTCCTGCGTGCCAGCTTGCTTCTTCCCTGGTCATCCCTGGGCGGCTGCGATCTGCGGAACTTTCACCAGTTTCGACGGCTGTTGGGGGGTCCAGCGGAGTGACGACTTACCCCGACTCAAAGGAGACCTCGCCATCTTTTGGGGGCTGCGATCTGCGAGACCGTCGCCACTTTCGAGGGCTGCTGGGGGGTCCAGCGGAGTGACGTCTTTCGCGGACCACCAGGAAACCTCGCCGTCCCTGGGGGATGCGATCTGCGAAGCTGTCGCCACTTTCGAGGGCTGCTGGCTCGTCTAGCGGAATGGCGTCTTATCCAAATCACCAGGAGACCTCGCCATCCCTGTGGGGCTGAGATTTGCGAAACGGTCGCCAATTTTGAGGGCTGCTGGGGTGTCCAGCGGAGTGACGCATTACCCAAACTCAAATGAGACCTCGCCAACCCTGGGGGGTTGAGATTTGCGAAACGGTCGCCACTTTAGAGGGCTGCTGGAGGGTCCAACGGAGTGGCGTCTTATTCAGACCACCAGGAGACCTCGCCATCCCTGTGAGGATGCGATGTGCGGAGCCGTCGCCAGTTTCGAGAGCTGCCAGGGGGTTTGGCGGAGTGACGTTTTACCCAGGCTCAAATGAGACCTCGCCATCCCGGGGGGGCCGCGATCTGCGTCAATGTCGCCGCTTCAGGGGGCTGCTCGGGGGTCCAGCAGAGTGACGTCTTACCCAGATTCAGATGGGGCCTCGCCGTCCCTGGGGGATGCGATCTGTGAAGCTGCCGCCACTTTCCAGGGCTGCCGCGGGGTCCAGCGGAGCGAGGTCCTACGCAGACCACCAGGAGACCTCGCCATCCCCGTCGGGGTGCGACCAGCGAAGCTGTCGACACTTCGGGGGGCTGTTGGGGGGTGCGGCGGAGTGACGTCTTGCGAGGACCACCGGGATACCTCGCCATCCCTGTGGGGCTGCGGCGTGTGAAGCTGTCGCCTATTTCGAGAGCTGCTGGGGGGTCCAGCGGAGCGACGTCTTACCCCGACTCAAAGGAGACCTCGCCATCCCCGTCGGGCTGCAATCTGCGAAACTGTCGCCACTTTCGAGAACTGCTGGGGGGTCCAGCGGAGGGACTTCTTACCCAGATTCAAATGAGACCTTGCCATCCCTCGAAGGGCTGCCATCTGCGACAACGTTGCCACTTTCGAGGGCTGCCGCGGGGTCCAGCGGAGTGACGTTTTATCCAGATCAGATGAGACCTCGCCATCCACAGGGGTTTCGATCTGCGAAACGGTCGCCACTTTCGAGAGCTGCTGTGGGGTCCAGCGGAGTGACGTCTTTCGCGGACCACCAGGAAACCTCGCGATGCCTTGTGGGTTGCGATATGCGAAACGGTCGCCACTTTCGAGGGCGGCTGGGGGGTCCAGTGGAGCGACGTCTGAGAACACCAGGAGACCTCGCCATCCCTGGGGTCCAGCGGCGTGACGCCTTTTCTGTTACGTGGGGATTGTTTTGAGTTCCGGGGTCGTCAGAGTCCTAGCAGGGGTGCAGGGATAGATGTTGAGGGGTCCAGAGGCGTCGGAGGGGGTAAGGCGGAGGAAGGAGGAGGAGGAGGAGGAGGAGGAGGGGGAGGAGGAGGAGGAGGAGGAGGAGGAGGAGGAGGTGAGGAGGAGGAGGAGGAGGAGGAGGAGGAGTAAGGGGAAGACGAAATGGAGGAGGAGGAGGAGGAGGAGGAGGAGGAGGAGGAGGAGGAGGAGGAGGGAGGAGGAACCAGGGGAGGATGTCGGGCACTTGCTGCCGCGGCAGCGCCAGCACAGGTCTTATTCTAACCATTCGCAGGTTGAATCATTTTTTCGAGCGCCGCGGCGACATGGTGCAGGCAGCGCTGCATTTTGGGTGTACTACCGGCAAAACAACACTCTTCGGTCTCATCCCGTCACTGTCGTCGTCGTCCTCCTCTGCTGCTGCCGCGCTGACGGTTCAGCCCCCACGCGTCCTTCTCCTGCCCTTCGTTCCTGCCCCCATGTCCTCCTCAAGCCTGGGCCCTCGCTCCTCGTCCTTGTGTTGTTGTCTTGTGAATCGCGCCACGTGAGCACATCCCATGTAGCTTGCACAACATATATTGGAACCTGCGCTGTCATTCTCTTGGCAAGTTTGGGCCAACTTCTCTTGCCACTTGATGCGAATGGGTTGGTACGTCGCAGGGTGACGGGCACGCGTGGGGAAACGAATGAGAAGCCACTTGAACGGACGGACGGCATCTGTCAAAACACCCGACGAATGATTATCGAATGGCCCTCGGCACATCCCGCCACCGTGCCTGGACTGCGGGTCTGAGACCGCTCGGAAGACTGATGGGGTCTCGTGGGAGGCGTCTCGGGGGCGTCTTGGTGGCAGATTGTGAACCTCTTGGGGGCCTCCTCGGGGCCTCCTGGGGGCTTTTTGCGGCCATCTTGGGGCTCCCTGAGGGCCTGTTGGGGGCTCCTGTGGGCAACCCGTAGGCGTCTTGGGGTGGATGACTCGAAATGTCCCTTCGGGTTCCCCCCTCCGAGCCCCTCTTGGGGCTGTCTTGGGGCTCTCTGGGACCGTCTGGAGGGCATCTTGGGCCGTCTTGGGACCCTCTTGGGTTTTCTTGGAGCCCTCTTGGGGGCCTCGTGGCCCGTCTTGGGGCGAATTTGAAAGCCTCTTGGGCCGTCTGGGACGTTGTGAGCGCCCAAGAGGCGAATCCGCAAGACATGCACGTTTTCCAGAAAGGTAATGGGTGATTTTTGCTTTGGGGGGCCCTCTTGGGACGCCTCTTTGGGGCTTCTTGGGGCGTCTTGAGGGCCTTCTGGGCTTCCTGGAGGCCAGCATCGGCGTTTTGGATCGACCTTTCAGCGACTCGTGGCCCTCGCGGGCCGCCCCGACGGCCTCTCCTCTTGGGGCCCTCTTGATTTGTTGTAGGGCCCCCCCCTGCGCCCCCCCCCCCCCCCCCCCCGTGGGGTTTTGTTTTGGGGGGGGGGGTGCGTTCACCCACATCCCGGGGGGCCCCCCCCTCCGAATCGAGCAGACCGGGCTCCTGGGGGAGGGGTTTGGGGAGGGGGGAGCATCTCACACGCCGATGAACCCGAAAGGGGCTGCGGATTTCCCCAGACTTGTTTCGTTCGTCGAGTCTATGAAAAATGCGTTGAAGAGTCATGCTGTCGGAAGTCTGGGGGGGGGCCAGAGCCCGAGAGGGCTCCAGAGAGGGCGGCGCGCCCGCCGAGCTCCCCATGCGATTCCCGGGGCCCCGGAGGGGCTTTGGGAAGGGTTTCCAAGCAGCCACGGTCGGCGACGCGGCGCAGAGGGGGGTCATGTTGAGTCGGGCGTGCCCCTTGTCCAGGAGGAATATACAAACACTGCCAACAAAAAATGCCAGGGGACGTTTTTTGTTGTTGGTGTGTGTGTGTGTTAGAGAGTCTGTGTGTGTGTGTGGGTTCGAGTGTGTGTGTGTGTGTGTGTTAGAGTGTGTTAGATTGTGTGTGTGCGTGCGTGCGTGCGTGTGTGTGTGTGCGTGTGTGAATGTGTGAATGTGTGAATGTGTGAACGTGTGAATGTGTGCATGTGTGCATGTGTGAATGTATGAATGTGCGAATGTGTGAATGTGTGAATGTATGAATGTGTGAATGTGTGAAGGTGATAATGTGTGAATTTGTGAGTGTGTGAATGAGTGAATGCGTGAATGTGTGAATGTGTGAATGTGTGAATGTGTGCATGTGTGAATGTGTGCATGTGTGAATGTGTGAATTTGTGAATGTGTGAATGAGTGAATGCGTGAATGTGTGACTGTGTGAATGTGTGACTGTGTGAGTGTGTGAGTGTGTGAGTGTGTAAGTGTGTGTGTGTGTGAGTGTGTTTCCGACTACTGAACTTTTCGTATGAAATCCGCCTGTAGGGGGACATCCCCCAGCTAAGGGTAGGGGGAGGGGTGAAGGATTCTTAGAGGCACCCCTGCTTCTTAGAAGGCGCGGGCCTCGTCTATAGATGTAAGCCCGGGCCCTCCGAAGAAGCAGCCTCTTTCAGAGAAACCTTCCGCCCTCCCCCATACCCCCTTGTACGCGCCGCCAACAACCAGCTTAACATATTCACTCTGCACTGATGTGTCCCCCCATGCCGGAGGAAGGAGGAACGACGCCACCAGCCGGCCATCGCCGGCCAAAAGGTGCACAGTGGTTCTCTGAGCAGGACATGGGAGATGTCTCGACCATGGCACCCCTATCAAGGAAAGATCACACCACCAGGCGGACCCTCCTTGGCTCCTCGTGATTGTGTTGGTGGTGGTGGTGCCTCTCCTGGCCCCTGCCCTTCTTCATCGTTTCCCCCTCTTCGTGGTGCACGCGGCAACGGACTCCTCCCTGCTCCCGCTTGTGGGGCTGCACGGGGGTGCCGGGATGGAGGAGAGAACAGGCAGGGGGTTAGGAGGAGGAGGAGGAGGAGGAGGAAGAGGAGGAGAAGAGAATGGGGACGAGGAATTGGAGGTGGAGGCGGCGCTTGGGTGTAGTGTGCTCCAGAAGCCCTCGAACTGAGACCGTGATCCGACCTCGACGGCTTAGAGGACGGGTATGCGTTCGTGAGCTACGACGGTCTCGGGAACTTGGCTGACATCAACTCTACTTTGCGCGCGATGATGCAGCAGGGGGTGTACTGGTGGGTCGACGCTGACTTCGATGCAAGACACCTCAAGAGCAAGAGCACGCGCTCACTGTTCAGGGGCGGCGTACCGCTTGAACCACAAGTTATCACAGGGTCGCTAGTAGAGGTCGACGAAGACAATAAGAAGCATGCGTCCTGGCTGAGACAGCTCTTTGACAAACACCTCATCAGCGCGAACGACAAGTTCCAGCATATCACAGTCACGTGGCACGAGCCATCGCATTTGTCTTCCCACGAGGTGATTGCAATGTGCTGCCTCGTTGGTCTCCATCATCCTCGTACATGTCTGCCTTCCTTCTACTCCTCCCTCTTTCCCTCCCCCCCTCGTTTCCATCCTTTCTCGGCAGCTCTCCCGCCCCCACATCCTTTTCCTCCTTGCCTCGTCATCCGCCTTCCCCCCCATGTGCCCCTCTGCTTCCCTCGACCAGTCTCTCTGACTCTCCCACTTCTCCTCTCGTACTCCTCTTGTTCTCCGCCCCCCCCCATCCTTGCACCATTTCCGCCCGCGTCCTCTCCTCACTTCCTCCCCACCTCGCGCCCTCCCTTTGCTCCCTTTTCCTCTTCCCCCTTTTTCTTCCAGTTCCACGATCCTCTGCATTCACCATCCGATTCCCCTTCTCATCCTGCGTCGTCGTATCGTGGTGCGTATTACTCTGTTCGGGGCTTATTCCTTGGTTCACTAACCACCACCACCACCTCTTCTGCCAGCTTCGCACCATCATCATCCGACCCTTTCTGGTCACGAGAGCGGAGATTCGATACATCGCAAGGTGATTACTATCCAACTGCCTTCGGCAAATCCCGCGACGGTGCCAGTGTAACAATGCAGCAGGAAGGAGATTGAGCGCAGGAACAGCGCAGTTCCGACGAGCGGTCTGAACTGGGACGGGTCGTGCATGCGACCTCGCTTTCGTCTGCGTTTTAGGGGGAGATCGAGTTCACGCGCCGCTGCAGTTCAGCTCAGCGGGCGGTCTGAACTGAGGCGGGTCGTGAACTCGACCTCATCTTCGTCCGCTCGGTGAGGGAGATGAGGAGGAGGAGGAGGAGGGGGATAAGGATGAGGATGAGGATGATGCTGATGCCGATGATGAGGATGGTTATGCTGCTGCTGCTGATGATGATGCTTGTGATGGTGATGATGATGATGATGCTGCTGTTGATAATGATGATGATGACGATGATGCTTATGATGCTGACGATGATGATGATGATAATGATGATGATGATGATGATGATGATGGTGGTGGTGGTGGTGATGATGATGTTTATGATGATGCTGGTGCTGATGATGCAGATGATGATGCTGATGCTGTTGATGATGGTGGTGGTGGTGATGATGATGATTATGATGATGATTATGATGGTGATGGTGATGATGAGGAGGATGATGATTATGATGGTGATGAGGAGGATTATGATAAGGACGAGGGTGATAATGACGACGATGAGGCTGCTGCTGATGCTGACGAGGAGGATGGTGATGAGGAGGAGGATGGCGACGATGGTGACGATGCCGACGATGACGATGACGACGAATGATGAGGAGGAGAAGGAGGAGGAGGAGGAGGAGGAGGAGGATGGAGAAAACAAAGACAACGAGGAGAAGGCCTCTTAGGGGCTCTCTGGGGGCCTCCTGGGAGCCTGATCGGGGCCTCTTTGGGGGCTGTTGTGGGCCTCTTGGGGGCCGGTCGGTGATTCGTGGGGCCGTCTTGGGCCGCCTAAGGAAGCTCTTGGCCAATCTGAAGCCCTCGGAGGCCGTCTTGGAGGCCTCTTTAGACCGTTTGGGTCCTTCTTGGAGCGCGTTTGGGCCGTCTTGGCGCCCTCTTGGGAGGCTGTTGATCGATCTTGGGTCCTCTTGGCAGACTTGGGGCCCTATTTGGGGTCGTCATGGACTATCGTTGAGCTATCTTGGAGGGTTATTTGGCGGTCTTTGGCGGTCGGAAACCCAGACAGGCGAGAACCTCAAAGTCCATATGTGTTCGCCTCCTCGGGGTTTCCTGGGGGGACTCTCGGAGCCCTCTAGGGGCCGTCTTGTGCCCTCTCGGGCCGTCTTGATGCCGTCTTGGGAGCCTCTTGAGCCGTCAGGGGGCATGTGTGGCCGTCTGGATGTCATCTTGGCAGCCTTGGAAGCCGTCTTGCGGCTTCTTCTTTTTTCGGACCACACCCGATTCGAGGGGGGGGGAGGGGGGGGGCAGCAAACACAAACTAATCTTCCAGACACCAGCGAGCATCCTAACATGCCCACTCCGTCCAGGCACGGTGGCGGATATTGCTTCATGATGTCAGCTGGGCTCTGGGGTCGTTTATTTTTGTGGCTGTGTTTCTCGTCATCCAGACAAGGAGTCTTATCCTCGCTATGATGGCGATATCCAGCATTTGCATCAGCTTTACCACGGCATTCTACTTCTACGCAGTGGTCGCAGGCTTCCCGAGGATGTATCTTGTGAATCTGCAGGGTTTCGCCGCTTGCCGCCTGCCCCCTGGCCTGATTGATTGGCTGAGCGGCTTGTCGGTTGGTTGCTCGGCTGTTTGCTTGGCTGACTGGTTACTTGGCTGGCTGGCTGGCTGGCTGGTTATCCAGTTTGCCTGTTCGCTGACGGGTTATGCGCGCTGCCCCGAATTGCATTCCTTTTGCGGCGCGCTGCTGACGTGGAGAGGGTCACATCCCGCGCTACTCGCAGCTGTGTAAGAATGGGTCCGTCGCCAGGGCAGCCAGAGGCTGGGACCACACGGTGCGGGGACAGTGAATAGGAACGGCGCCCGACGACCCGATATTACATGGTCCCGGGACACTAATTGCGTCTGGGGGTTGTCCCGGACGATTTTAGAATTCACACCTTGGCTATGTAAAATTGCGTTTTGCGCGCGTTCGTGATGATGTATCATATCAGCGTTAGCCAGCAAGAACCTCAATCGGTGTGCTTTCAGCCGTCGATGTGTTGCAATCTGGGAGGAGCAATCTGTATAGCTCAATCTTCGTGGTGCAACTGATGTTGTGCAATCTGCCGTGTGCAACATATGACTGGTTTCTTTCAAGAAATGCGGTGCTATGCAGATGGTGCAACCTAGTTGGTGCAATCTAAATATGTGGTGCAATGAAATGCACAGCAATGCAAAGCAATGCAACGCAATGCAACGCAATTCAACGCAATGCAATGCAATGCCATGCAAAGCAATGCAATGCAAAGCAATGCAGCACAATGCAGCGCAATGCAGCGCAATGCAATGCACTGCAGCGCAACGCAATGCAACGCAATGCAATACAACGCACTGCAATGCAACGTAATGCAAAGGTATGCCAACACATGCAACGCAATGCAAAGCACTGCAATGCAAAACAAAGCAA